TCGCCCTCGATAAATATAAATACGCAACTGTTCCTACAGCAGATGGATGGTGTTATGGGTGACCTAAAAAAACGCGCGAAAAATGTTTGTTGTTTCCGATAAAAAATACTCTGCAGGTGCAACACATTAGCATTTTATTTTCAACATAACGCACCTGTATGTATCCGAGCTGCTGGTATACTCTACTTTGCTAATATGCAAAATTTTTCAACAAGTGCAAAATTCTCGCTCCCCGCTTTTTCGTGTTTGGATGTAATTTTTCGGTATCACTTTTTCTCCACGCGCGGAGGCTGTAATGCAATTTTTCAAAAAGATTTTAGTCGCACATTTTATATTAACTTGCAAAAAAGATAAAAAGAAAACCTATTATCATCCAGGTTGAAATAAACTAGGTGGCGTACACGCACGGTACAAGGACAATAGGAGTCGGAGGGAAACGTTTTTGTTCTCGTATCTTAACTTTTGAAGTGATCACAATTATTTTTCCGGGGGAGGAAAAAAAAATATATATATATATATGATACATAAACCCGGGGCTTAAACGAGAAAATGCTTTTGCGGCTCGAAACTTTGCCGGGGCTTGCCTCGCATTCCAAATTATATTAAATGTACGAGCTCGAGGCAGAAAGTATGTGGAGTGGGTATGAAAAAAAAAAAGAGATGGGATGGGGTGGGGGTTTCATAACACACGTAATTTTCTTGGAAGATTAAAAACATAGAGATCTCGGAAAGTATATCGCGGCAAAGCTCTGAGCTTTTATGTGTATATATATATACACACCCAGTGCACACGTAGGTGTACACGGTCGAAAGAAAACGAGGGGGCTCCAACTGCGCGATGTACACATATCTCAAACAACGCGATTTTCCCGTTATGCATGTGTATTAGGTGCGCCGGTGTGAGTGTAGATGTGTATAAAATATGTATGCTCGCTCTGGGTAACAAATAGAGGAAGAGCGGCACAGCGATGGCGAAAGAACGGGAGGTAAAAAGTTTTTCCTCGACAAAGAAGTCCGTGCGGATAAATCGGGTCATCAATAAAATTTTTCGATGCCCCCACGCCCGTGGTAAGTATCTCCGTCGGGCAAATGAATGCGCGCGCGGGTAGATTGATGGTGGTATAGGTGTGTGTACGAGTTTCATCAAAAGTTATACGCGATGCATTTTATTTCGCTCTCGCGGGGAATTTACATCGATCCCGGGCATTTTTTTCAATATTTTCCTACGTCAAACAAATTTTACCGTAGGCAATAACAAGTTATTGGACAGTGGCATGTATGTATTTTTTTTTTTTTTTTTTTAATTTTATTTACCTTTGGTCAAAGAGTCCGATGAATTTCAACAAAGTGTGTATATACGCCAAAGTTGAATATTACAGTAGATATGAATGTATACATACCGCGTGTATCGATGAAAAGTTCGTTGGTGTCATTAGCGATGCGATATGTGAATTTTCCCCGTAATGAAGTAATTGAAAATACCTATGTTGGAAAATTCATGGAAGGAAATTAGATTGTTGACGTGTTTCGGATTCCCATTGAAGTTTGCCGGCAATACAATTAATTTTTGATAAACAATACCCGCTCCGAGTGTATAAACTCTTTTCCCGACAATGCGGCCGTCAAACAATTGCTCGGGATGAAAACATTCGATCGCAACTTTTCACGCTGTTGTATCCGTGAAAAATGTCATACATATAGTAGCGCGTGATATTGAGTAAAAGATACGATATTTGAGAAACGTTAATTTGCACTTTTATTCGCGGCCGGGTGTAAAAATCGAGAAACGAGTAGAGGTTTTATATACCTGTACAGTGGCAGCAGATACCCTCAAGTAGAAAGATCCCGTTATGGTAAGACCAATGGTATGTCTACGGTAAGTTTCTTCCTATGACGACACGATCACTAAAGTTCAAACGAAATCTGGCAACGCTCTTCACGTCACGCGTAAGTCATTTAAAAAAAAAAAATAATTAATAAATCAGCCAATTTGAAAGAAATAAAAAATTGACACCCGGTCATAATATATATATATAAGCGTCGGTGTAAGGGTGCATCGTGCTACGGTTGCCCGGTGTAAACGGAAACAAATGCAGTTGTACTGCGAAATTACGAGGGAAACGCGAGGCAATATTTTTCTCAATATAGAGGCGCGCTTTCAAAAAAAAAAAAAAAAAAAAAAAAATCTCACGTTTCCAGGGAGGATGGAAGGATACCCCGAGCATCGGGCTGCTGCCGTCTGAGTTCTCGAAAAGTCATTAAATATCGCAATAAGACGTAGTTCTTCCGACCTTCTTCTTCTTATTCTATCCTTTTGCCGCAGCCCGCACCACAACAAAAGGAAACATGTATATAAAAATATACACACCATCTAAGAAGTGGCGGGTATTAGGTACACCATATCGGTGTGGGGGCACATTATGTACAACCCTCAGACGTGGCTCGAAGGATATCGACGATGCGCGGAATACAATATACGACAAAGCACATACACACACGCAGGCATGGGCTGTAATATACAAATACATATATATAAAAAACATGTGAGAGCTGGTATATAAGCGAGAAAAATAATAAGAAGCAGAGATAGCGCAGTGGGGGGAGGGGATAAAATCCAGAGTTGAGCCTCGGCGGCAAAGTTACTCGCGGAAAGAAGCCGGGCCCGAGCCTCGAGCGAACAGGGGGTCTGTATAAGTATACGGAAAAGCCGGAGGCAGGCGGCGAAGCGCTCTATATATACATACACACACACACACACACTTACTTATAAATAAGACTTCCTTCGTCTCTGGCTTTCTTTTCATCGCTCGCATACACCCACTTTGTGTTTACGTATACACGAGATGGTGCGTGGGTACACGTATTCCCGTGCGCATCGTAAGGGCTACGTGTAATATCGTCTCGGCGACGGAATCACTGCGAGGAGTTTCGCGGATCGCGCGATCGACGGCCGGAGAGGAGGAAGTGATAAAAAAAAAAAGGTACCTCCGTCCCCTCGAGCAACAATGTACTCGCGTACGGGTGTATGTACCTGAAAAAACAAAAGACAAAAATCGCGCTGCTGCTGCTGCTGCTTCTTTTTTCACTTCACCTGTTTCTTCCTATGTTTTATTTTGTTTCACCTCGCCGGAGCTGCCGAAAGTACCTTTAAGAGTACAGCAAAAAAAGATAAAAAGGGACTTTGGACTCGGAATATCATTTTTACGGGAGTGCCGGGACGCGGAACCGAAACCCTCCTAACTGTAATCATCGATCACCTGCCAACTATGTTTCACAAAAGCCAGATCGTACAAAAAAACCTGTTTAGCTGTACATCCTGCACGTATACGGTCTTCGACGTATCTCTTGGTCTTCCGTACCTTCACCGCGTGGGCGAGGGTTCCCACGACTTTTTTTTCCCTTGCATATATATATATATATATATATACGTGCACGTTTTACACGTGTGCCCATACTCCGCGTGGGCTCTGCTCCGCAACTGATTGGTACTTTTGCGGGAAAAATAAAATCCTCGGAAACCCAATGTTTTTTTTTTTTTTTTTTTTTTTTTCGCAATGATTGGAAAATAATACCGCTTCAACTCGAAATACGATGGGGCAAGCAAATTTACCCGTGTATTTTCATCGGGTCGAGGAAAAGGTGGATCACACTTGTGTTTGCACTCGAGTATTCATAAAATAATACAAAATACGGCAGTTTGATTAAAATCACGCACATCATCGGGAAGGGGAGGAATCGATTTCAATTACAGTTTTTTCATCGTTTGAATAAATCCTCCGTCGCGCTCCGATGGGCCGCCCTGGTGACAATTTTTCCTATAAAATTTATGACGTACCCAGCGCCACTCATTTATAAAAACAAAAATATCGCCCCGTAAGCCGCTACCAACCACCCTGCCCCCCCCCCTTTTTTACGCCCCAGCATTAACATCGAACCGTAATTAAACCCGTTGCGGTATCCCAGCGCGCCCTTCCATATATACTGCATCAGCGGGCCGGAGGAGGCTTTAACTATTAAACCGCGTAAAAACAATCTTCAAAGTGACTTTTCTCAATAGCTGAAGGTAAAGCTGGGGGGGGGTAAGGAAGGGAAAAAACGAGGTCGCGGCTAAGGGCCAGCAAAAAAGCGCGAGGGTGACGAGGAAAGGGGGGGGGGGCGCCCAGAGAATCATAAAAGTGTCGTAACACGGCCATTATTTGCCCGTAAGCGCAGGGGGGGGCTGCAGTTTGCGGCGCAATAATAGCCGGTGCTCGAAAAAAATCGTTTTAACGATTAATGAAAGAAAGTAAAAAAAAAAAAGCATAAGTGAAAATGACTTTGTTGCTCTTGTAAAGGGTGGGTGTTTCCTACCATGTTTTCCTTCTTTCCATTTAGTGGCGCGCCCCTGTACTGTTACGAGGGAGGGAGAAAAAAAAGTTTTTCAAGCAGCGCGACGAGGGTGGTGGCTGTTGAAAATGATTTTTTCTCGCGCTTGACGTCAGACTTCTTGCAGCATCACGTTGCTTTATGTACATTATAGCGCGTTAAAACGCGAGTACGAGGGTATAGGATGCGAAAAAAAAAGGGAACACCAGGGCGAAAAAGCCCGCAGTTGGCTCCAGCTGAGAGAAAGGGTCGTTTTTCAGGAGTCGTTGTAATTATCAAGCCACTTGAATAATTTTAAAACACGCACTCGTTAGCGACTTGTTGGAACAATTAAGTGGGCGCTTAACTGCGCTGCCTGTAAGTCACCTTAGAAGGAGTTACCCAGCGCATGTGTGAACTTCACAGCTCCCGCTGGCTGGGCTGTCTAGTTGGCTGGCTTGCATGGCTACAGTCCGGTACATATTATTTAATTTCGTTTGCTGCGAGCGCGCGTTCTCGTTTCTCTGCACCACTGTACATTTTCACCCTTTTTGTCCCCATTTTTCTTTTGAGCTAGGATACAGTGTACAATCAGAGAGCGGTTTTTTGCATACTGTTTTCCATATATATATATATTTTTTTTTTGCATTTCCGTTTGACATAACAATTTTTTCTTCGCTTTCTTAAAAATACTCTAAGATCAATTGGTAGCTGATATTCTTTCACAACTCGTATGTACAATCGATGATTTTCAAACATATAAATTATATATTTTCTTTCAAATTCAACTCAATAAATATTTGTTAAGTATGTACATGCCTTAGATTACCTAGCAAACATTCTTCCGTTGATGAAAACATGGACAGTTTCTAGTATCTAGGATTTGGGAGCTTATGTCCATTCTCGCTGTACATCTTTTTCATCTCCTTCCTTTTGAACTCCTCTTGCATCTCTCTTTGTTTTCTTTTCCTCTCTAGTCTCATTTCTTCCTCTGTCATAACTATTTTTTACACACAGTTTGGCTTTAACGTAATTTTCAATTTTCAGTATTAATGCATTTGTGTACAGTTCATAGTTACCTTTGTGGAGATTACTTCTGGATCTCTCGATTTTCGTTTCTTTGCTTACACCATCTGAGATAATCAGTTTATTAGTATTGTCAATCAAATTACCAACAGTTTTTTCTTTTATAAAAATTCAGTTACATTAAGTTTTTATAAAACTATTTTTATCCACGTACAACAATTATTCTTACCAAAACTTGCTTTGGCGGTAACTTCCGTCGTAGTGTTGGAATTTGTGCGTACTAATTTTTTTTTGTCTTCATCCCCATCTATGAGTAATCAGATAATTTAAGTAAAATTTTTCTGCATAAATGCATTCATTGATGTATAAAAAATTATTTTACCTTTGTTCGATTTCACATCTTTTATGCGATGAGTATTGACATTTGATGACTCTTTTTTTTCTTTATCTGACAATTGAAAAAAATTACATTTATTACAAGTATTTTGCAAGTATTAATTTTGATTTTTCAATTTATTCAATTATTCAATACCAGAGGGTACAAATGACTTATTCTCTTCCTTTTGGGGTGGCTCACTTCCGTTTGCTAATTGATCTTTATCAAATAAGTGATCCATTTCTACAATATCTAAGATAGCATCAGCTTGTGACATAGGGATCTCTGCAAAAGCTTCTTCATCTATGATGCAAAAATAATTAAAATTAAAATAAGATATCGTCACATCCAATTTACTCACCAATACTTGTTACAGCAGTTGTTGTTGTTGTGGTTTGGACCGGTGTTGCTTTTTTGAGCTGTTGCACCTTGCTGGATGGCGTTTCTGTTGCTAACGGACTAATTGTTTGTCGATTTATGGAAGTATTGATTTTACTCGAAATATCACAGTCAAAACATAAAAGTGCTTTTTTTAATCCATCGTTCAACGAACCCTAAAATCATTTCCTAAAATTTTTTCACTGGTCAACAATAGGCCAAGTTCTTTATGCACTTTGTACTTACAAATCTAACTCTTTGTACTGCTGACGACTTAGTTGAACCCTCTGATGAATGGTATCCTACAGCTTCATGAAACTCTCCATTTTTCAACTGTACTCTTAAAATAGTTGCACATCCTGTGTGATACCTACCATTTATATAGTCCACAAAGTCTATAAAGAAAGGACAATTAATAAAAAATTCCAATTGTTACACTTACAAATTTAATAGGGTGTCAACAATAATTTTTACCAAGAGTTTGACTCGTGATTGCATGACTCCAATTGCCCGGTCCAAACGTATGATTTGCAGCTGCAATCAACTGTGTAAGAATCGCAGTTTGATCGTTTGGACTATCTTTGTTGTTTGGCGTTTTGAGTTCGGATTTTGAAGTCGGCTGAAAAACAGATTTGATGAGGTTATATAGATATGTATGCATACGTTGTAGGCGAAGTAAACAAAAATATCACTGATTTATTTGAAATTGACAATTTCACATACACATTTGAGTACTTGAAAACAATAATTTTAACTGAGAAAAATCATAAAAACACTTACAAACTTGATGCAGCTCATGATGAATGGTTTAAAATTACATTAAAAATTAAATAAACATAACCTTTCGAAAACGGTTACACACGCACACGCACACGCGGTTGGATAAAAACTGTTGCCAACACGATTACAGAAAAAACGGAATAGTACAACGCAAGACTTGTTCGATTCGAATGCTGAATAGGAACGGTGGAATGGTATAACCCAATAACCCCAGGAGCCGTACCATATAACTTTTTTTCACTTCGCGGGCCTATGTTATAACATAGACTGATGTACAGAAAAATAGTTACATGGTACGGCCCCAGAACGCTGGATTAGTATACCTCCAAGTTCTCCAACGACCCAACAAAACAGGAACGGTGGAATGGTATAACACAGTAACCCCCGGAGCGTTGGAATGGTACAACCCAGTAACCCCGGAACGCTGGAAAAGTATAACACAGGAACTCTGGAATGGTATAACCCCAACGACCCAATAAAATAGGAATGTTGTAATGGTATAACACAATTCCGCAATCCTAATCACCGCCATCCAGGGGCCGTACCGTGTAATTTTTTTTTGCTTCACGGGCCTATGTTATAACATAGGCCAGTAGGTATACAAAAAAATAGTTATATGGTACGGACCCAGTTACGTTACATATGCACGACGTGACAACGTTGCGTAATTAGGGGCGCTACTGTCGATTTACTGGTAATGTGTTGAATGTGTTCCGTAATCTTACTAGTAGAAAAGCAGACAACGTTTGTCTACTTTGCTTCTTTTTCGTGATATTTTCCGACGTTCTGTCGTCTGCTTTGATTTGTTATTATATATATGTATATATAGACCAGAAAAAGTCACGGAAAAGAGCAAGGAGACCGACGTCATCTGCTTTTCTACTGGTAAGATTACGGAACATATTCAACACATCACCAGTAAATCGACAGTAGCGCCCCTAATTACGCAACGTTGTCACGTCGTGCATATTGTTTATCTGATGGCTGGCGGCGATACAAGCTATAGCTATAGAGAGCTCTCTCACTCCCCCTCCCTTAACCAAATCAAATCAAACGCTGTGCATAGCCCTGAAGTTGCCACTGTAGCCAACTTTGACCGAAGCACATGTAGGTAGTCACACTAGTTGGACTAGTTAGCCGTGCCTGTCAAAATAAGTACAAGGCAATTGATTATCTTTTTTCTATTCGCACCAAATCCACATAATTACGTGTGTTACGTGGGAAAACCGAAAGGTAAGGAGGTGCTTCGCGAGATTGATCTAAACCTTGGAACCTTAAAGACTTTTATTCAAGATACTTATTTATAAGGCAAAGACGCGTGTGTGTTCCCGATTAATTGCCCGATATCTCCGAGTGTTCCCCTTGTTCTCCTCGTCTGTCCGAGTCTTCTCTTCGTTCTCCTCGTCTGTCCGAGTCTTCTCTTCGTTCTCCTCGTCTGTCCGAGTCTTCTCTTCGTTCTCCTCGTCGGTACCCTCTTGATAAGGTAGCTCCGTGGTCACCAGGGGGCGTTAGTATGATATGCCTAGCATATCGTACGTAACACGTCCGAGGCCGCGACGTCGTCGCCCTCGACGACGCTGGCTTTCTGATGTTCATGGTACTGAGCCTGTGGATTTGTTGCGAGTGTGCGTATGTGTGCTGTATTGTATTCTGTTGTTTGTGTTGTTTATGTAGTTTAGTATCCTACACTCATTCTTTCATTCTTTTAGAGAACCGGTGTTCCCTTTACATTAATATTTTTGTTCTCACAATCATTCAGTCTCCTCTCATCGTGTGCTGAGTGTACAACAATATTGTTTTTGTATGCGCTTTGCCTTACTTTACAACTATATATGAAATTGCCGCGAAGCGGGCTTCTGTTTACGACTACTTTACATTAAGTGTGGTTTTACAATGTGGTTTTTTTTTTTTTTTTCACTTGCGCTTGTTTATCAAAAAAGAGAGAAGAAAAAGAAAAAAAAATTCCGTACAACCTTATCATCAAAAGAAAAAAAA